CTTTTGAAAGTTTGTCACCTTGAACGATTGGTCGTTGCTTGCAGAAACGCTTTGGCTTGGATTTAACTTTTTCGTCGAAGATCTTCTAGAATACCGAGACCCTTTGCTGAGTGGTCTTGGGGCAACTACACACTGATAATACTACCATGATAATTTTGGCATACGGACAAAGAGATTCCGCTTCTTGGTTACTCCTTTTCCGAGACTTGTTCGTACCCCCAGCCTGATAGTTCAAGTCATCGGTTTGATGACCGGAGAAACCCATCGTGTGTTAGCACGAACCCCCAGGTATAACATCATCATCAGATGAGTACGCTTTCCTCTGGGAATTCAACGCTTTGTTAGCGTCTTCAAGAGTCACATGTTTGAGGCTACGTTTTCGTGAGTGTAGGATCTCGACAGGTGTAGGTAGAAAATTTATAGTAAAAGAAATGAAAGAAAAATTTGATTTAAATTCTCTCGATCTTAATTACAATTGGATTTCGATTACAAAAGAAAGGAGAATGATCTGGATTCTTCCCTTTGTTTAAAACTAGGTTCTTCTTAGTAGCGATGCAATGCCTCCTTCGAATGCTTACGTCGAATTTGCTCTCCGTTGATGATCCGACCATCTTGTCTCGTAGGAACAATTAACTTATGTGGTAATTTTGATGGTTAACTCTTAACGAGTTTTAAGAACTCAGAACGAGTTAGAACTCTGTAAAAAGAGTTGTTAAAAACCGAAGAATCGGCTAATAAGCCAAATAGATTTGTTTGTTGCTGACGAATCTGATCTCCTAACTGCCAAGAACTCTATTGTTGCGATAAACACTTATTGTGTATTGTTTGAAAGAGAGTTGTAATTTACTTTTCATTGTATCGAAAGTCTTATAAAAAGACTATTTTTCTGAATTTATTGTAACGCCCAAAGTTGTAATGAATTCTGCAATAAAAATAACTTTCTCCCCAAACAGTAACATCACTCTTAACCCTATATATATACCTCGCTTATACCAACTAAAAAAATATAGCAACAAGTCTCTCTACTCACTCAAACAGTAACATCTCGTCTGCTTTAAAAAATGAATTTTTCTTCCATAATTTTGGTTTTATTTTGGGCAAACGTTTTCATCTTAGCAGAAGCTCTGCACTCTCGCCCGACTACATAGGCCGACTGATTCCGAGGGTTTTTACCGTTAGGGGAGAGGGGATCATCTGTGCTAGGGCGATAGGCGGGTCCTCAATCTTCTAGGCCAGTGTTTACACGACTGCTCCCGATCAGGCCAGATTTACTGTTTACTTTAATTTTGGATTTATCTGCATGATATAAATTTTATTTACTATTTTTCTAACAGATTGGGCAACAAATATAGAGGAGATTTGGCCTGTCAGAAGCCAAATTGATGAAACATTTGAAAGAGAAGAGCCTATGTGGAGATGAAAGTCCCAAATCAATTGGCTGAAAGAAGGTGATCGAAATACATGTTTCTTCCATAACAAAACTACTAGTAGAGTAACACTTAAAGGCCATGGTGGTATGATGCATTTCAATCTCCAAAAATTAGTGGAGATTGTAAATTCTTACTTCACTGAGCTACACTCTACAGGCTCGACGCAATGCACAATAGAGTTCTTTAAAAAATTCAAAAGAGAGTAACAGAAGATATGAACAGAGAACTTGATGATGGCAAAGAGGCATTTAATCAGATGCATCCGTAAAAAAGCTCCAGGTCCAGATGCTTTATCGAAACTATTTTATGAAAAAATTTGGCATCTTACAATCTTATAGGTGATGAGGTAACCTTATTAGTGTTAAATTTCTTGAATAATGGGACATCAATTGATGAGGTAAATCTAACCAATATCATGCTTATTCCATGAGTGAAGAAACCATTAGAGATGACATAATTTCGGCCTATAAGCTCATGCAATGTAATTTATAAAATTGTATCAAATGAGATCTCTAACCGAATGAAATGTATTTTACCTAATGTGATTTCATAACTGCAGACTACATTTTTCTCTATAGATTAATCACCAATATTATTATTGTGAAGCATGAGCTGTGCTACATTCGATGAAGAAAAAGAGATCTAGTAGAGCTGGGACTTTCGCACTAAGATATGAGAAAAACTTATGACTGTGTTGATAGAATTTCCTCAAACTATGACGCATAAATTGGAATTTCACAGCCAGTGGATTGAGTTTATCTTGAAACGTGTATGTATGGTGAGATATTCGGTTGTCCTAAATGGGGTTCCCTGTTGGTAGTATTATTCCATCAAGGGGACTACGACAAGATGATTCGTTTTCCCAATATCTTTTTCTTGTTGTTGCTAAAGGCCTATCTTTGTCACTTACTTATGCCGAGAGGAGGAGAGCTATCAGGAGAGTGCAAGCTTCGGCAAGGGGTCCTAGCGTATCACATCTTTTTTTGACTAATGGTAATCTTAGTTTTCATCATGCTACTTGGAAGAATACTAATCCAATCAAGAATTGATGGAATATGAGCAGCTATCTGGGCAAAGCATAAAATTGGACAAATCAGCAATATGCATGGTTTTCTCTTAATACTCCTCAAACTAATATGATGGTTCTGAGTGTAAATATGGCAACTTCTCATGAGCGATACCTTAGAATTCCAACTGTTATTGGGTGAAATAAATATTAGCTTTTCAATATTTAATTGAGAAAGTATGAAATAAAATCCAAGGTTGGAAGGAGAAACTATTATGTAAGGCGGGTAAAGAAGTCTTTAATATCAAGGCAGTTGTCCAAGCATTTTTCACCTACTTGATGAGTGTGTTTCAGATACCTCAAACCTTGTTTAGCACGTTAAATGCCAATGACAGCGAGATTTTGATGGGGTAATCGGCAGTTGCCTTGGTGTACATGGGAGAAGCTTTGTTAGTCAAAAGCAATTAGTGGGCTAAGTTTAGGGGCATAAAACTTTTAGTCTTGCTCTTCTTGCAAAACAAGGCTAGCGGCTCATGACGAAGCAATCATCCTCGTATTATTTGGTGCTGAAAAATACATTTGTTAGGATAGGATATAGCTCAATGGAGGCAAGGAAGGGGTACTCACCATCAATTGTACGGCGCATCGATCTTCCTGGCAGGTAGAGATTAATTAAGCAAAGGGTTGCGACACCGTATTAGTGACGGACAGGCAACCACGATTTGGTTACCTGGACGCCTTTTTCATATAAATTCAACCCTAGAATGCATCAACTCGATCAAAATACTCTATATTTGGTCAGTTACCTTATCAATTCAGCATCTTGTTCGTAGAAGCTACACACACTTCAACAAATTTTCTAGTTTCACGAGGCAAAGACTATCATATATATGTAAGTCATAGGCCCGATAAACTAATGTGGCATTATGACCCTGGTAGGAATTTTTTGATCAAAAGTGCGTATAGGATGGCAGTGTTATTAGAGGTGTAAAATCCAATGGGAGTGGTTTCTCAAGATTTTGGGAGATGCTTTAGGGGTTAAAAGTACCAAACAATTCGAAGAATTTTTATGGCATGTTGCTAATGATTTTCTACCAATAAAAATATATTTAATAAAACATGGTGTTTCAGCGGAATGACATTCGTGAAGCTTGTGGTATGGAAGGAGAGGACCGACATCGTGCTCTTTTTGATAGTCCGTACGTGTGGCGGTGCTGGGAGACGTTCGATTTGGAGTAGATAGCAAAATCATGGAAATATAATATTCTACTAAAATTTGGCTAGCTGATTATTTCGGGATGATAAATGATAATCAAACAGTTTTGTTGTCTTTTATGCTTTCTTTTTGTTATGGAAGAAACATAAATTTTTCACACGGAAAGATTAAGAGGGAACCGAATTTTGTTAAAGATGACGTTGAGCATGTGATGGACGAGTACAACAATATTTTGGAGCCAGATAGCCCTATTACAAGAAGGTGAGAGCTGGAAGCACCCACCCACCCAGCAGTGATAGTTACAAACTAAATGTGGATGGTGCTATGTTCTGTGATGAAGCCTATTGTGGTGTAGGTGCAGTGGTGAGAAAAGAGATGGACAAATTTTCAAAACCATCCCATTTTGAAATTTATTTATAAAAAACGACCCCTTTTAGCTTTAATTGCAAAAACCGACCCAGTTTGTTGAAACTGGGTCGGTTTTTGAAAAAAAAAATTTCAAACTTCACGGGAGTTCAACTCCCGTGAAGTTTTTTCTCATAACAAAACTTCACGGGAGTTCAACTCCCGTGAAGTTTGGAAAAAAAATTTTCAGAAACCGACCCAGTTTCAACCAACTGGGTCGGTTTTTGCAATTAAGACTAAAAGGGGTCGTTTTTTATAAATAAATTTTAAAATGGGATGGTTTTGAAAATTTGTCCGAAAAGTGATAGATGAGTTTATGGTTAGCCTTTGAAAGAAGATGTTTTGAGCAGATGATTCGTCTCTATGTGAAGTTTTGACTACTCGGAAGGATACTTTGCATATGAAATAGGATTTCGAAATATTAAGCTAGAACTTGATGCTGCTAATATGATTGCTACTAGATACTAGTAAAAAACGCAGCATCCCAGACGGATTATTCCAGACAAAAATTTTTCCCTTACGATTCTAAACAGAAAAATTTACGTCTATAATAATCAGTGTAGATAATCTTTCCCCCCAAATTTATTTCGTCCCCCCCAATTTCTTTGGTTCCGGGCTAAAATCCCTCTCTCTCCCAATCTCTCTCAAATCCTTGTCAAAATAGATCTTTTTCTTTGTCTCTCTCAAATCCCCCAAATCCCCCAATTTCTTTGGTCGCCGACATCTCCCTCCGTGGCGAGTCCACGGACCCTATCCTCGCTCGCTCCGGCCTCATGACCGGCTCCCTCTCCCCCGCCCTCTGCCGCCTCGACCGCCTCTCCTCCCTCATCCTCGCCGACTGGAAGCAGGTCGAGCAATCGATCATCGATGAAGCCCATGGCCATCCTCCCCTCCCCTCACGTGTGGGTTCCCGCCGGTGCGAAATCCTCTCTCTCCGTATAGATTCACCTTCATTGATGCTTCCGTTAAATTCTCCTCTCATCAACTAATAATTAACTAGCTGTAGTGCTCTAAACAATCCTGGGCATGACGATCCTGACGATATCGACGGTGGATAAGAGGCTCGTGATAAGGGATTTTACGAGCAGCGATCCTTATGTTGTGGTCAAAGTGGAAAACCAGGTAATTTTTGTACACTAGTTTTGTAAAACTTGAGAGACTCAATGTTTGAATATTTATGAATTAGTACAAAAATGATGAAAATGAGCTATTTTGATCACTGGATAGAATTTCATTATGTGGCTTCCGATGTTAATTAGCAATCCTTTTGCATCATTTGGTTCTACTTTTGGTGGGAAATGTCGAATTTTTCTAGAGTTCAACTTCATGTTAGTTAGGTATATATGGAATTCCTGAACTATACTGTTATTTTTGTAAGTTACATGTGTTCGTAATACCTTTTGATAACCTGAGAAAGTAAAACCCAACACAGTTTGGGAGTAGATTTTCATGTGGAAATGGTGAATTTTGAATTTCTCCTGGAACTGAAATTCCCAATTCACAAAAAAACTAAATGGTGTGCTCAAACTTTCCATGTGAAACCAATCAGAGCACAAATGACCATTTTACTTCTGTTTCGGGGCTCAGAAGTCACTTGTCTGAAGAATTTACATTTGTTCCACACTTTATTTGGTGTTTTTATTCTTGCTAATTTTGCCCTTGACTAATAGCATGCAAGGTTCAATTCGCTATAATTTGATCACCTTTTGTTCATGCCCTTAACCATTAAAATCAATCTTTCTCCAGTGGCTAAAACCGCCCTTGTGAATCCATTAAAAAAATTTAAAGTTTCATAGTTTGATAGCATATTTTTGGTAACATTATGTATGAGTCTAGTAAACACGCATAGCTCCTTCCACGTTCCACAATTAAGGGATTTCATCATGATACATCAATGTACATAGAACACTAAAAAATTGAAACATGATTTGCATAGAACGTTAGGAAAATCAAATCTATACAACTGAAGGGATTGAGCTGAGATGAGTACAAAAATTCAGGCTTTTTTGCTTTCCTTTGCCCATCGGCTTACCTTTTATACTGTCAAAGTTTCACCAGGATAGGCCAGCGCTCATGTTTCCTTGTCCAATCTGACAAACATACAACTTATGTTTTTCTTCTATAAAATTGAAATAGAAAATACTTATATTCATGTTTTAGTCACTTTACTATTTGTGTTTATGAGGTGATGGGCATAGAAGATTTAGATCGCCTCGCCTTTTGATGCTTCCTTTCTTTAAATTGACCTCGTCACACGATGGGCATATCATACTTAAAACCAACACTTACCTCATCCTGATGCTTGTAACATGTCATTTGATGATCTTTCATACTTAAGCTGGTTAAATTCCTTTCACTTATCCAACTCTTTTGTTGAGAAAATGTAGCCTTGCATACTTTTATTTTGATCTTTTAATGCATTCCACTTGCTTACAACTGCATCTTCTTCATTAGACTGCTAAGACCAAGGTCATCAACAGCTGCCTTAATCCTGTTTGGAACGAGGAGCTGACCTTCTCTATAAAAGATCCTCTCAGCGAATTGAAATTGGTGAGTTCCTCGTGATTCAATCTTTGAATGTCTAAAAAAATTCTATATCTCGTGATATCCAGTGCTGGTTAATTAATATATTTCTAAGTTTGACAATTACCCATTCTTTCTAGATATTTATGTGTATTTACGGCAGGCTTTTGACATCATATATATTCCTATTGACAAGGGCCTATAGTCTTTACTTCGGAAAGTTAAAGCATAATAACATAGAAAAAAAAGGCAATTTGCCGTAGTTGAAAGGAAAAAAAATTCGTCTAAAGGTTTTTGGTGCTTTCGTGGATATCACTACTTTTTGACTTGCATATGGCATTCTGCATTAATTTATTTTGAGGGTACAGAGTCTTTGCTTTACTTAAGTAAAGTAATGCGGCATTAGCTTAAAAGTCAGAATAAGTAAAGGACAAATCAGTTGTCTCTTTCATATAACACAAGTAATGCGGCATTAGCTTAAAAGTCAGAATAAGTAAAGGACAAATCAGTTGTCTCTTTCATATAACACATGTTTTGACTATGTCCATTATGGTGTGTTATAAGTAAAGGACAAATCAGTTGTCTCTTTCATATAACACATGTTTTGACTATGTCCATTATGGTGTGTTCTTATATCTTACCTGGAAAAAAAACAGTCCATTATTGCAATGAAACCTAATCTAGCGAATAATCCAAAAAAAAAAGTATCTTTAGCCATTATCTTAGCTCGAAAAACTAATTTTTAATAGGATTATATGTTGCAACTTCAAATTTGTCTAGAACACCAGCTCTTTTGTTGCTTTCAAGGTTGCTCACTCACTTGATCAACTATAAGGCAGCGTCATAATTAAAAAATGCTGTAACTGACTGATGATACTGTCCTCAACTTACATATTCAACTAATAATAGGTCACTTTCTATTGTTGTGTGCATGATTTCTTTTTTCATTTTACATCTGGCTTACAAAGAATGGAGAGACATACATGGATGAAAAATGAGACCAAGTAGTTTGATCTGTAAATACCATTATTGATACAGCTCAATTCCTAGGATGCAGTTTAGCAAGTCTTGAATGGCTTACCTGTAAATTATTTTTGTTTGTTGTTTGTATTCTTCGTGTTACTTTAGACTGTTTAAACATTGGAAATTTCTATCACATGCCACCTGAAATTTTTTTTCTCAGATTATTCAAGCAATTAGTTTCTATCTCTATCTGTGTGCGTGCGCACCCGTGTGCGTGTGCACCCGTGTGCGTGTTTGTGTTTTCCTGCATTATGTGTTCAAGTCATTGCACTTTTGTACGTGTGTGCACCTGTGAGTCTACGTATATGTGTGCGTGTGTAAACCAATATTTGAAGGTATTTCAAAACCTAGCAACGCATAAAAAATTTGTGAAACCAATATTTCAAAATGCATTGTAAGGCTCCAGAATTTAAGTTTGATTTTGAATAACAAGGAAACTGTGTGAAAGAGAGAGATTATTCTAATGTATGAGCACAAATTCCTTACTAATCTTCCAAGTTTGTAGTGCTTCATGTATGGATTTGTAAATAGTTCAGGTGATTGTGGATGTAAACCAAGTATCATTGCAAATAACAAAAATAATGTTATGTTTATTGACTAGTTGTCCTCTGTATTATCATGCAGGTTTATATTATAAAAGTAATTCCATATAAGCTCCGCGAAAGTTTTGATCTCAAAGTCTTTAGCAGAAATATTGATGGCACTGACAAATGGGCGTATGCAAATGGTACTGAAAATCAAGATGTAGATTTATCTAACGTTCAATAAACCTCCAAAAGATGGAGTACAAAGGCATAGATGTATGAGATAATTGCACCCTATTTTGAGAGTGCACTCAGATTTGCTTGTAAAATATGTGCGTACAGAGATGAAGTTTTCATTTAACTTTTGTTATATCATTTTGGATATAAAGTGTTAGTCTTTTTCAAAACAGGTGAATTTGACATCACCAAAGGTATAATTAAGCTCCCTTGTTCGTTAGTTGATAGAGGGACGTTGTTGTCGTTGCTAGTTGTACATGCTAAATTTTTATGTCGCTTTGCGATCTTTGAAAACTTGTTATTTCTTTTTTGTGTATGTGACAATATTACCTTTGATTTTTTGTGTATGCTAATTTTTTTGCTTAAAGTACATTCCAATTTTGTATAATGAATGCTCACTTTGTAACTCAATACACAAAGTAAGTTAAAAAAAAATTGTAGCATGTATCTTAGACGAAAATTTCGTCTAGGATATTATATCCTAGATGGAATTTTCATCTAGGATACTTTCTAGATGGAAATCTGCCTAGGAAGTATCCTAGACAGAATTTCCATCTAGGATACATCCTAGACGGAAATATAATCCGTCTAGGAAGCTATGCTAGACGAAATTTTCGTCTAGGATAGCTTCCTAGATGAATTTTATTTCCGTCTAGGATACAACCTAGACAGATGTATCCTAGACGGAAATTCCGTCTAGGATACCACATCCTTGACGGAAACATACTCGACTCACATTTTAGATGGAATTTCGTCTGGGATAGTTTTTTTAGATGGAAATTTGAGTATCCTAGATGTAATTTTCCGTCTAGGATGCCTCATATTGTACTAGTGTATTTATAGTACTAGTAATCATAATTCCTATCTTGGCATTTGTTTTCGTCAAAAATTGGTTTTGTTGAGGAATTCATTATATCTTCATTTGATTACAACAAATTCAAAGAAATAGTCTTTTTATAAGACCTTTTCTACACAACAAAGCAAAAATTATAACTTTTGAGAAAATAACACAGAAGTCGTTTATCGAATCCTGTTTTTTTTTTGTGGGACTTTGCCTGTGCCGGGAACGCTTTGGTTCGTGGACCGCCGAGTCACAGATCGTGAAGGGGGTTTAATGATTCTGACTTCGTTTATCGAAGTGAGAACTTGAAACGATGTCTTATCAAAGTAAGATAGTCGTTCTTCTTAAAATCAAGTCAAAGCTCAATTTCAAGGAGTCACGCGAAAACTCAAATCTGCTCTCTCTGCTCTGGATTGCTCGAAAATATGATCGATCCTCGTCAGAAATGACCCTAGGGGGGTATTTATAGCCTCAGGGGACATAACTGCACAAAACTCAACAACATAACAAGTTAAGGCCGCGAGACAGTGTTTAATGTCTCGGCGGGCGAGACAGTGTTTGCTGTCTTGGCGGGCGAGACAGTGTTTGCTGTCTCGGCCCGCGAGACAGTAAATGCTGTCTTCTCGCTGGCGAGACAGTAAATACTGTCTCGCTGCGAGATAGCAAACACTGTCTCGCTACGAGACAGCAAACACTGTCTCGCTGGCGAGACAGTTCATATCTGTCTTGATTTTTCTCTTAAGACAGTATGAGGTGATTTTTGATGATCTTCTCTATGTTTGGATATCTATTAGCATTTTTTAACGCCTACAGATACCCCCTCCAAAGTATTCCAGACGTATTCTTTTATAGAAGAGTCTGGGATACTTTGGATAAGATAAATTTTACTTACGATCCCTTCAATGCTTGGTTGATTAGGTCGTGTTGAAGAATCTGTAAAATAGCTTCGGCTCTTGATCTCTTCATCCATTAGTCTATTCAATTCTTTGTAGAATAGCTAATACTTCTCCGGCACTGCGTTTATCGCTCGACCGTTGTTGAGATCTTGAATTGAAGCTGGTATTTCCATATTGATGTTTGTTTGTCTCTCGAGAGTTCGTCAGGTTATCCTTAAGAATATTAAAAATAATATTCTCCAGAAACTTCTTGTTGAGGGTAGAGAAACAGTTTAGACTCGTGTACCTATTGGAGTATTCATTTATACTGCAACATCACAACGATCGTTGCCATCTTGCGATACGAGACAGTTCATATAGTCTCGCGGTGCGAAACAGTAAATACTGTCTCGCGGTGCGGTGCGAGACAGTATATGCTGTCTCGCACGGCGAGACAGTGAAACCTGTCTCGCTCGGCGAAGTCGGGATTATAAAACCCCGACTTAGGGTTTTCCAGCGAATTTCTACGTTGATTTCTGGGCGATTTACTTGGGCGATTTTTTTAGGATTTTTAGTGAGTTTTCGGCCTCTTCTTCCCTTCTTTGTTTCTGATTAGGGTGGAGTTCTTGTTTGGGGAGATTCCACTCGGATTTGATAGGTTTGATTCCCCTCTTTTCTTTAAAACCTTGATTTTTTTCAACTTTGACCTTGCATGCACTGTTCGGCCATATTTTGTGATATTTTGATTGACTTCTTGCTCAAAATCCTGACATTTTTCGTTGGATTGCAATGTAGATCATACACTCATCATGTCGCCGCGTCGATCCAGAGGTTCCCGAGGCCGTTCAACTGCTCAGTCCCCTGAAGAGGCTGCCCCCTGTTGTCGCTTCGCATGGGGGTACGTTTCCTTCACCCTCTCACGAATCTAGATACCGTATTTCGTCAATTTCATATATATGTACCTGTATTTGCATGCAGATCCTCGTTTGTATCCTTTGAGATACCCTCGAGAAGAGCCGGTATCCTCCTTTGAGGGGATCGACGCTTAAAAGTGTTTGTTTTGCTTGGACAAAACATACTTCATAATACACAGGGGCGATTTCATATCATCCCACGTATATTGGAAGGTTTCGATATGCCGTTATAATGTCCGCGCATAGTAACGCATATCTCCTTTATACATGTGGTAGATGGAAAATCGTCACACCTGTTATGAGGTAGCGACTATATCTTATGGAGTAAGATATACCGCTTTCTCTAACAATTTAAGGACTATTCTTACACAATTTATGTGTATGTTTTCTTTATCAGTTCAATTTCCTTCTACCGTCTTTATTGCTGGTGCGGTCACGGGCCAAAGTAGCGCTACCCACTCTTACTATGAGGGGTTACCGCTAATCGAATCCGCTCCCTAATTTAAGTCAGATTATAGCGAAGGAGCCAGAGAACTGATTTAGCGAGGGAGCTGTCGTATCCTACGACGATTAATCACGGATGCAACCTTAATTTCGGAGCAGGACTCAAACCAATGTATAAGGAAATCAGACTTTTTGTTTGGTGACTCCATAAAGGATCCGGCGATTGCTTTTTGCAAGCCTGCGCAGTGGTTACATGAGGATGGTTCATCATTCCTGTACTTGCCTTTTATCCCTCGAGAGCACTCACTGTTAAAGTTCAGGAACTTATCGGTTGGACGTGAGATGTTCTGGAGGTTAACCGAAAACCATGAACGTATTCATTGTGGTTTTATTGGGAAGGAAGCCATCCCAGGTTCCAGTGAAAGAGCTTCTGTGCGGGGACTTCATCCGGGCATCTTAGGTCAAGATAATATTCCACAGAATGAAAAGACAGCACATGCAAACACCGTGAAGAATCGTTTAGCTGCAATGAGGAAGAAATTACCCCGCGAGAGCTTCAGATGTTATGGATGGGTCCATTATTCTGGGGACAAATGGTGGTGGACCAGAATGACCCGATACGTGTTGAACCGTTGGGGGCGAGAGTTAGCAGAACTAGGGTTGGAAGTCCCGATCCGTGCTAGCATGCATGGTCTGCAAATCAGTGTAGGTCATTTCCTCTGTTTGTTCAAGATCTACAATCCTGACACTAATACGTTCTTCACCAAGAATGGGGAGCTTGGGTTACCACTGCACGAAATGATGAAGGTGTCTGGCTTGCCCATAGGCGATATTCCATATCAAGAGTTCTTCCCAACCACCAGTCAGCTTAATAAGATGAAGGATCGGTCATCTGTGACCCATGAGACTTTATGGGAGCTGACTTGTCATTATCATATAGCTATGGCTGAGATGGAAACCAAAGCTAGGAAGAAATCTCCCCAGGTCAGCTTAAAGCAATTCGCTGATTATCTGTTCAAAAACCTGGAGGATCGATCGGGAGAGGTATGTGGATTATCTCCTTTGAGCCCGGGTGACATCAATCGGCTGTTGGAGAAAATAAACACACAATCTTACACTTCTCATTCAGAAGATGGGTTTTCGCACGGAACTAAATTCTTCTCTTATCTGTTTCAAGCTGGTGTTCCGATTCGCCCCACTACTCTGCTGGCTGGTTACTTGGCTTTATGGCTGAAGAGATGTGTAGTTCTCCACCAGTCATCTGACGCTATGCCAATGGAAGTGTTGTATCCAGCCGTACAGTTGGCTACAGGTCGCAAATTATCCTTGCTTCCTGCTATAGTGGTGGCTATTCACAGTGGATTACGGCAATTAGTTTCCGTATTCACACAGGAGAAAAAGAAAGCTTCCGTCAGCACTATTCACAGTGGATTACGGCAATTAGTTTCCGTATTCACACAGGAGAAAAAGAAAGCTTCCGTCAGCATATCCGCTCCGAAGCTAGAATTACCCTATACATATTTGATGACATGGTTGGTTCTTCACCGGCCAGATTTGATGGAGGCTCCCGAGACGGTGGATCCCAATCTCCCTCTGTTGCAGAATCTTGAGCGTTGTAAATGGGTCAAACATCGAGGGTCGGACATCACAAGGCAGTTCAAAATTCACAAGTGTTGGGAATTCTTCCCCTGCTTCCCTCGGTTCTCCGGTACTTACAACACGACTTTATTGGATGCTAAAGACCCAAGGCAGGATCGCACCATCTTGGATGTCGGATGCTTCAGATGGTTGATGAACATTCGACCTGGATATCTATTGTTCAGGGTAAGAGATGTTTGTCACATTGAACCCTATCTTCCATGTCGATTTGCTCGTCAATTCGGCTATGACCAAATATACGTCGAGCATCGCCGGCTGTACAAATGCTGAATTTGATCTTCCTTTAGAAGCAGCGCCTCTACGGATGACCTTCTTATATTGCAAGTGGTTGATAGCCGCCAATATCGTCACTCGACGTAGGAGGATATCAGACTCAGAGGAAGAGGCAGCTTCGCAGCAAGCGACAGAGGCGACTCGTGAGGCTATGGTGTT